AAACTCTCTTCTGTTTTTAAGTTGAATGGCTTTTACTTGCTCTTTATTCTGACCTTTTGGATTTACTTTCCTTTTGGAATTACTTTTATATTACTAGAAAGTGTTCATTAGGATCTAGTACTTAATGAATTTATTATTTGTCCCAACTGATTCTTAATATTTCTAATTGTAGCTTCTTAACATTGTAACTGATTTCCCATTTGTAAAACCACTTCTCCTTAAATTGTGGATTACTATTAAAACTTGGAGGGTAAGTAGGTTTATAATTACTATTCCCTTGGTTGTTATAGTTTTCCAATGGGTTTACTTGATTGTTCCCCCATTGCCAATTATTACCACCTGAATTGTTATTCTAGTTAAAGTTGGGTGTTAAAATTGGGATGGTTTTTCCAACCTCGGTTATAATAGTTTAAATATGGGTTATTCTGCTTGTTGTTTATGGAATTTAAAGTTTCTAATGATGCTTTAGAATCTATCATTTGGCCTGATGAAGTCTCTTCAATCAAGGAAATTGGTTGAGAAAAATTCATTCCAAATTGGTCAAACTTTCTTGAAATTGCAGCAACTTGATTTGCTAACATAGCAAGAGCATCAGTTTCATGAATATTGGCTACTTTCTTAAGATTTACGCTTTCGGAAGGCCATTAAAAATTATTTGTACTCATTTCTTCAATTAAAGCATAAGCATCATTAAATGGTTTTGACATCAATGAACCACCAGCAGTGACATCGATAAATCTAATAGATTTAAGAAATCCAGCTAATCCATTGTAAAAGGTTTGAATTATTAACCAATCTAGTATAGCATGGTGTGGATACTTTCTAAAGAGTTCTTTAAATCGTTCTCATGTTTCATAAATAGATTCCCCTTAAAACTGACAAAAAAATGTAATATCATTTCTAAGCTTCACAACTTTTGATGGTGAAAAATATTTAACAAGAAATTTTTGTGCAAAATCACTCAAAGTTCTGATAGATCTAGATGATAACGAATCTAACCATATGTTAGTCTTATCTCTCAGTGAGCTAGGAAATAATCTAAATCTTATAGCATCATATGATACTCCATCTAGTACACAACTCTAGAAAATTGGCAAAATGTAAATTTGGAACTTCAGTTAATGCTCCCCCAAACTGATTATTTGATATCATTTACATAATAGTAGGTTTAAGCTCAGATGAATTAGCCACTACAGTTGGTTTTTGAATATTATAATGAAGTTCATCCACCGTCGGATTTGCATAATCTCTTAAAGGTCTAAACTCTTCAACATTTTGATTATTTTGATTTGTCATTTCTTAAAATTTTTTAGTAATTTTTATTTTTTTTCTAATAGTTCTTTCTAATTCAGAATCATAAGGCACAAGTCATGTAGAACATGAACAACGCATACATTACTATAAAACGCATAAAATAAAATAAAAAAAAATAATAACACACAAACAAGAATTTAATATAAAAAACAAAACTACAATATTCCTATAATAAAACTTAAAGTTTAAATAAGGCTTTGTAAAAATAGAAATTTTGCTTTTTAAAAACCTCTTTTGAAAATTTGTAACGTTTTCTCCGGCACGGCGCAAAAAACTAGATCTTGATTCTTTGGTATAGATGTTTATTACGATGTATGTGATTATATGCTTAATTTCTCTGATAATGACTCATATTTTTGCAACAAAGTCAAAAACTTGATCCAGAGCAAAAGCTAGGCAAATTCTTCACTATAAAGCAAAAAAGCATATATTTATAATATTTAAATATGGGATACTACGTAATTATACATACCGTTATATATTAATATAGAACTTTTTTATTAAGCTCCGAATATTGAACCCACAGAAAAAACTGACAATATACACTTTTCTTTAAAATTATAAAGTTTAGATAACAAAAATCATAATTAGCAAAATATTCTTACTTAAACTTAAGATATTATAATAGGAATGAAAATTTGATTCTTTTTATAATTTTTGATATTTGAAAAGAAAGTAAGCAATTAATTCACTAACTAAATATTTGCAAGAAGAAACCAATATAAGTAAAATATCTTTTCCCTTATCATGAATCAGTAACAAGTATAGAAATTCTATTGTGGGAATATTCTAAATGTGTTGTGTCAAATATGAACAATAATATTCTTTACCCTTACTAGAGATGTTATAGAGAACATTGGCTAATCAATAGTTTGAATAGGTTTGAAGACCGGTTAGGTATGGAAGATACTAGCTATCACTCTATAGTTTCCTCTTCTCCCTCCACCAGGGGGCTAACATCTCGTATCAAAACCTAAAACTATAAATCAATTTGGGGGCTTTAGCCTGTCACTCGAAAGTCCTCCAATTCTACACCTATGAAAGTTTATTTCCCTATTTATTTGCTCTTAACCCCATAACTACATTCTCATTCATGAATTAATATGTGATTCTTACCATTTGTTTCTTACCATTTGTTGACTGAGGATCACACATGTTCTCACAACAGGTATTAATATCTTAATTGGCCAAATAAAGAAGTAAATGAAGTATATGATTTTAAATAAACACAACTTCTTCCAACATTAAAGTCTAATACTTTATGCAACTTCCTTTCAACACTTAATCACGTATCATTTTAAGGGAAAAAATAAAGAAACTACTCAGAATCCATAGAGAAAACACAACCACACATGAGTTTATCTATGGAGAAAATACCACACTTGAATTTAAAATTAGTACAAGAAATCTAAATTAAAAAATCTAAATTAAAACTAAATGTAGTCAGAAAGATAAACTCTTATCTTAAATCCTCTCAACCAAATGTCTTGAAATTTCTTTGAATTCTCTTCCTTCACTCATAATACAAACTAAAACTTAAAATAAAATAAAAGTGGCCAGCGATGGCGCTTACTTGGATGGATGATGGATGTTGGATCCCTTCTCTTGATGATCCAAGTCTTCTTTTATAAAAATCCAAAGAGTGGCTTTTTTTTTAGTGGCTTGGTGTCTCTTCAAAATGTGTTTTCATTCAATGAATCTTCTAGAAGTTGCCTCATTTCAAAAAGCAATTGAATGAATTTTTGTGTTCATGAGTTATTTTCCATGTTTTTACCAAGGGTTGCTTCAAACACCTCTTCAAAATTTTGTCTAAATTGAATGAATCATCAAATAACTACTTCTTTTGCTTAAGCGCGGGGTACCTGGTGCTTAGGCGTAACTCTCTCTGTATAACTGGCACGTAAGCGCCAGTCCTGAGCGCTTAGGCACCCCAGTTCATTTTTTGCACCTTCTCATTTTTGCTCCAAATTTGACCCATTTTCGCTACTTTTACTATTTTTCTTCTCTTTGATTGTTCCTGCAAGAAAAACACACAAATAACTTTCATTAAAGTGCAATATCTCAAAAATAGGTATAAAAATGTCTATAAAAAGTCTATATATTTTAGGTGTATCAAGCACCCTAACCTAATTCAAGTCCAACCCGATCTGCCTCCTAGTCGAAGTCATACATAGACCTAACACCATAGCAAATCAACACTTTGAGGACGCTTGTGGACTCAAGGCAGTTGTCTCCAACCAATCTAATTGAAGTCTTACCTCTTCAGCGAAGGTATAGACCAAAGTCCCTAAATTTATGCTCGGTTTAGGCTTTTGTGAAGAAAATTTTAATTTCATACATACATAACTGTATAGATGTGTTCGTCTGGTGTAGTAACAAACCTCACTTAATTTGATTGAGCATTGAGCGAGATCTTAGGGTTAGAAAATGAACGATTCTCGGGTTAGGAGGAATGAGGATGATGAACCGATGACATCCGTTTCGCGAGTGTATTGATCGAACGACAGAGAGCACGTTGAACAGGCGACGCATACATGAACAACGGGCTGACGAGGCGGCTACGTAAAATATGCTAGCAAATCAAAACGCGACACATGGAGTTTTGGAGATTACGAGGATCCAATCAGCGCCAACGTGGACAAGTAAGAAATTAGGGATATTTTCTTATTTAAATAATTATAAAAATTTCAAAAATTCAAAAATTCATAACTTGGAGTAAAAAAAAAGATAAAAATAAAATAAAAATACTCATGTACTCAGTAAACAAAGAAAAAAAAATGTGGACTAAACATAAAAAATAGTTACTTTATATTTATTTTTAAATTAATTAAATACTCAAACTTGTTTAAATCATAAATAACTAAATATTAATCACAAAAATATAAAATTGGGAGGGTTTACTTCTCACATGCGTAATAATGTTTTTTTTGATTTTTCAAAGACAAACGACAACCCTAACATTGAAAACCCTAACTTCTAAAATAATATTTTGCTTAAAATAATCATAAAAAATAAAATATTAGTCAGGCAATTATAAAAATCTGTTTGTTAAGTTCATTACGGTCGAACGAACTTAGGAAAAATGAAAATCAAATTTCAAGAATCTAATGCATATTTTTCTATTTAAAAATTGATTAAATTACCAAAATTTAAAAAAAAATACAAAAAAACTCAAAAAATCACCAAAATAACCGAAATTGAAGGAAATTGCCTTAAAAAGTCATTGTAAAAATTTCAGAACCATAAAATTATTTTTAATATAAAAGTATATTTTCTAAGTAAATAAAGATTTTGGCTTGAAATAATTATAAGAAATAAAATATGAATACCTCCTCTAAATGTCAAAGAGCATCCAAAATTGGGTGGCATTAACGTAAAAAAGCTAAATTTAAGTGTTAGATATGTAAATACATGGGAATTGGGAGCTATGTTTGTAAATGCCCTTAAAAGAATTCTAACATTACCATCACAAAAGGGGAGTAAATTTAAAGAGTAATAAACTTGAATGAGATTTAAAGTCCAATTTAATCAGAATTCAGAGCATTATAAAATTACCAAATTACTATCAGCTTATATCGTTGAGCACTCATTAAATACTTGTGCACATGAGTCATATTTCTATTGCAAAAAAAAAAAAAAAAAAAAAAAAAAAAAAAAAAAAAAAGATGATAAAATTATGCCCACTAAATTTAATTTAACACTAAAATAAATGAAAAATATACAACACATTTTCAAAAAAAAAAAATGTTCACATCACTCCTAGGAATAAATTAATTGACTTTGCTTTCTTTGCGAGGCGGATCACTGCAGATTCTTATCCCACTCAAAATGTAGCCGCCGAAAGCACTCATTTGCATGTGCGGATGGGTGCGCGATGGAAGAACCTGCATTATCAAATGTTGATCAAAATTTCCAGTCATTTCTAATAAGTTAACAAAGCATGTGATTTTATAAATTGTTATCTTAAATATATCTAGTTACCTTAGAAACTAATAGAAATATCAATTATATATATAAAAAAGGGGGCATCATATACATACATACCACATAATTCTTATTTATTTACAATATCAAACATCTAAACTTTCATATATATTTTCACTCTTTCAAAATGATGATAATGCCATATTTGATGTGATATTAAAAAAATATCACTATCACAGTTTTTAAAAGTACAATACACATTTTCATGTATAGATTTTTAAAACCAAAGTTTTATGAATGCAAATATCAAAATTTTAAAAGTTAGTGAAAATGGAAATTAATATATATATTAAATGAGCAACTAAAGTGCTCATTCAGCTGTGCATATTTTTGATAAGATCCGACACAAAATTCCACACAAAATTTGGAGCAAAAACAAATTTCTTTCTTCAACAACACAAACATTAGGACACATAAAAAATAAAAACTTATAATTCGAGAGGTAGATGATCTTTACCAAATCCTACAATTCCTAGGTAGACCATCTCTCCTAAACACTAACCACCCTAAGACTCAAGATAACAATCTCATGCATAACCCTAATCCTAAACATATTTGTCCTAATTATAATAAACAATAATAAATAATAAAAGACTAAATTGCCCTTAGGCTCACAAAAGACAAAACTGTCCTTAGGCACTGGCGTAACAATACTCCCCTCCCAAAAAGACACCCTGGTACTCAAAGTGGGGAAAAAAAATGTTATTCGGTCAAGTCGTGTGGCTCCCGCACATAAATTGGCTTGTGTCTAATTCTTGAAATCAGCACCAATACACTCATTATGGTCTTCTTTAACTTCTCAAAAATCTAGACTGTCAAATTCCTTTACTGAAAGTTGTCCTTCAATTTCTTCATCCACGGCCACCAAATCAAACTACCGCCATCATGAATTTATAGTAGTATCATGTAAGTCCCATAAACTTTCTCAACCCTTTCAAGTTTTTGGTAGTAACCCTTCCAACATAGCCACCATATTCAATGAACCCCCTGACACAAGGTTTTAAACAAGCTAGCTCACCACGAGGCACCACCTTCTGCCCCTCCATCATAATCTCCATAGTCAAGGATTTCTAATCCACCCTCTTCTCTTTGATCGTCTATAGCCACTTCATCCCCAGAATCATATTAGTACTTTCCAAGTCCAAGGGATGGAAGTGCTCTTCCACCTGCATGCCCATCTATTCCGAATTAAAGTTGCCTTACTTCTCCTTTTAATCTCTCTTCCAAAGCATCCACTTTCTCGGTTGACATCTCTCGGATAACTTACCAAGTCTGACTTCAAATAGGTGGAATGGAGCCTGCCAACGATCCCTTCTTTGGCCTCTCAGCTATCCTGAATCACTAGTGCTTCGCGAGGCAAGATCACAAAAGCAGCACTATGCGCTGTGATCCTTCCCAACAAGCTTGAATTGCAGTTGTTTCGTGATATTAGGTAGGGAAGGCGATCATGTCGTTGGCAAATAGCTCCCATTGCGACTGTAGCACGAGTTGATTCGGTCATTGTACTTTGTTGTCCCGTGGTTTGCTTCCCTCAGGACTGTAGTGTTGACGTTCGGTCATAAAGGAGCGTTGGCATTCTACGATCCCATCACTCTTCTCTACGAATCGCGATTGAATCACGAGCTTCAATCACGAAGCCCTTGTATGTCGCGGCTTTGAACCCTTACGATCGGTCATGACTTTCCAGTGAGCGCATATTGCAATTGCACCACGAGCTTTGGTCATGCAGGAGACATGCAATCCCGGAATCTCGAATGCAGTGCGTTCCCTCCCAGATAGCTTTTACCGTGACTATATCGTCATGAGGCACGCCGCGATCCAAACGATTCCCAAAATCGAGTGTCCTGATATCAAATTGATACTATCGGACACAAATTTCTACACAAAAATTACGACAAAATAAATTTCTTTCTTCAATAACACAAATAACTAACACATAAAGGATAAAAACTTGCAATTCGAGAGATGGGCAATCCCTTCCAAATCCTATAATTCATGCGGTAGGAAATCTCACCTAAATTCTAACCCTAAGATCCAAGATAACAATCTCATGCATAGCCATAACCCTAAACATTTTAGTACTATCTATACTAAATAATAACAAAATCAAAAAGATTAAGTTTCCCTAGGCTCATAAAAGTTAAAATTATCATTATGCACTGACGCTACAGTTTTATGCTCTCTTTAGTGTAAAATTAATGTAGCATACTCGGGCCTCTCCAAATCTATAAATAAGGCGGGATACACTGAGGATTTAGTGATACATTTATGGATTCATCCCAACTGTTCGAAGAAGATTTTAAATAGCGTAGAGAAAAACAATTAATAATAGAGAAAGCAACAGATCAGACCTGGTATTCTCGAAGCCAGGGCTCGGATATTTGCAAGCTTAGGGCCATTTTTGCAGCTTGTAACTTGTGCATACACATCGCAAGTGACTGAAAACATTTAGAACCAAAAAATTTATGCCATGAGGTTTAGCTTGGGCAAAAATGAAGCAAAAATGTTGCAAGACAGTATCAAATGTATAGTGTAGAAAGAAAAAAAAATGAGATTAATAGTAAAGAAATCACATAAGAAGCACACACTTCTTATGTTATTTACATATCTCACACAAACTCTCATATTTACATAGATAGCACTTTGGTGCTTTAAGCCTATGCATAAAAATGTGTATTTCACATTTAAAAATGATAATAGTGCTATTTTTTATTTTACACTAAAGATTTGAGTGCGGTGTGTGTAAATATGAAAGTTTCTGTGTGAGATATGTAAATAAATTAGAATTGTGTGCTCTGTATGGAAATGCCCCTTAATAGTAATAATAAAAGTTTGGAGAATTATTAAGCAGCTGATAATTCACCAGAAACCTGTTTCGGGTATAATATCCAAACAATTATACTACAAGACCAAAAAAATTCAGCAGAAAAAATAATAATAATAATAGATTGAAGTAAAATTAGATTAAGATGGCATTAAATAATATCAATTATTTTGTGTTTTTCCTGCATCAAGATGGTCTACTGGACAGCCATCCTGTTCTCTTGCAGCCGCAGGTTGGAGCCAGGGAACGCTGAACTAAACTGACAATTGGAGGGATGCCATTGTTGCTCTAAATTTGGACAAAAATTCAAAACTAGGAGGGAGCTTACATCAACTCGAAATAGCATAATCTCACATGTAGACAGTAGAACCTCAAGCTAACAAGAATTTGGAAGTTATTTCAGCTATCATGATCGCTCTTTTTTGGAGTCAATTAGTTCCTTCATTTTCTGGCAAATTTTAATATTTTAAAAGTTATATTATAAGTAATGCACATTTTAAGTAGCGTATGAATAAGCAATGATATAGCTAGGTGCAGGCAAAACATTGGCAGGGAATGGGGATACCGTAAGAAGTAATAGGACAGAATTCATAGTACAGAATATTGAAGATTGTACAGCTCAAATAGAATAGAAAAATTGCACCTGAAGGCAATGACTGTAAATTGCAAATGGTGCAGAAAATGACAAAAGAGGCAGCAATTTTTGCACCAGGCTCCCCAACTCCATTTCCGGCGCAGCAACAATCAGACTGAATAACAAAATAAAGAGAGCATAAATCTTCAAATACAACCATGAATTCTTACATTCTGTTGCAGCACCAATTTTTCAATGGGCATTTAAATACATACCACCCAATTCCTATGTATTTATATACCTAACACCTAAACTATACTCTTTACATTTATACCACCCAAATCTTTCATATCACATAAAAAATACCACTATTTTACCTTTTAAAAAGTGAAATACATCTTTTTATGCATGGTAAGTTGTAATAGATGTAAAATATGAACTTTAGGTGTTAGATATGTAAATACATAAGAATGAATCCAATTTTCAAACCTTGAGAAACCTCTTTCCTTCCAAGAATTAACTAATTTTGATGATGCATGCCTTCCAGAAGTTTTCAATTTCTCAACAGTTGACGAAAAACAAATACCTTCTTCACCATCTTCAATGGGAGGATTTGAATCTGTTTGCAGAAAAAATTGCCCAAAATTTTTTATATTTAAGATATCAGGTGAAGAACATAATTCTATCAGACGAAATATTTATTTTTCAAATAGCTTCTTCTTCTAAAACATGCATAGAACCACCTTTTGATAGAACAGACTCAGCCAAAAATGTTGTATTTTCGCAAACGCCCACAATTTTTGGAATGTCCTGACGAAAACAGGTACCATCATTTTCTCGAACAAAGCAGAGATCATCAAGAGAAGCCGAAGACATCAGGTGAAGAACATAATCTATCAGACGAAATATTTATTTTTAAAATAGCTTTTTCTTCGAAAACATGCACAGAACCTTTTGACAGAACAGATTCAGCCAAAAATGTTGTATTTTCGTAATCGCCCACAGTTTTTGGAATGTCTTGATGAAAACAGGTACCATCGTTTTCTCGAACAAAGCAGAGATCATCAAGAGAAGCCTCAACAATTCTGCATTGGAAAAAATCCCAAAAATTACTTTTTAGTCCAAATGTTTGAGAGATAGAACTGCCAACTACATCTACATGTTGATAAAATACAGGAACTAATATAATACATTTTTAGGGCTTTCGCATACATACCACCTAATTACTTTTTAGTCCAAATGTTTGAGAGATAGAACTGCCAACTACATCTACATGTTGATAAAATACAGGAGCTAATATAACACATTTTTAGGGCTTTCACATACATACCACCTAATTACTTTTTAGTCCAAATGTTTGAGAGATAGAACTGCCAACTACATCTACATGTTGATAAAATACAGAAACTAATATAATACATTTTAGGGCTTTCACATACATACCTAATTCCTACGTTTACATATCTAACACTAAAACTTTACTTTGTATATTTACACCACCCAAATCTTTCATATCAAATCAAAACACCATTTCAACTTTTAAAAAGTGAAATACACCCTTTTCATGCAGAAATAAGGTGGCATGTTTATATGATGTAAATACACAGAAATTGAGTGGTATGTATGTAAATGCCCCTATATTTTTCTAGAATAATTTTCTCAATTTAAAAATAAGAGTCTGTACAATTACCATAAGAATTTGCTTAGTAAACTGCAATAATGTTATCCAATCTGCCAAGAAAATATCACTAATAACCTATTTACAATGAAATAATTATTGAAGCCCATTGAGAGGTTGCAACAAAGATATAGAAAAAGTTAGCAAATAGTTAACATTAGTATCCTGAATCATGAATAACAATCAGGGTCCTGAATCATAAATAACAATCAGGGCAACTAATGCACTCTGGAACTCCTAGATTTGTAAAAATAGCAATAAACAATGTTACCAATATTAAGCTTTTTGACAGTTTAAGAAAAAAGTGAAACGCCCTATTACCTCCAAAGTATTATTACCCTAATGTATAAAGCAAAAGTTAAAAAACTCGTGATCCCTTCACAAAAAAGAGAACCATTAGACTAAAAAATGAAGAATGCTACATGCACTAAAAATTTTCCCCTAAATTTGCTTACCAAACAAATTAATAATGAAATTAAATATCAAGTGACTCCAAATTTATGTTAAATATTATTTAAAAAATATTTAAAATAAAAAATTTTGTTGAAGTATTTGGTGGCAGAGGTGAATACAAATCATTTGAAATCTATGTGATGTTCCAACTTTTTAATCTGCAAAGCATTTATTGCAATCCAGTCCACTAATGAAATATTTTGACATTTTAAATCTAATGAAGATTTTACCTGCTGTTCACTTCAGAACTGAAGTTGAACATACGCACTATATCAATTGGATTGCGAGAAGCTCCAAAGTATGTGCTACACACATAGCCTGTGCCTGTAAAACATCAAACATAAGACACTAGTGCTATGATTAATAAACAATTCTTATGTATTTACATATCTCACACCTAAACTTTCATATTTACATACATAGCACTTTGGTGCTTTAAAACTAAGCATTGAGATGCAAATTTTTTAATTATTATTTAAAGCATATAAAACCGTATAATAGTACGAGGGTAATAAAACTAACAAAAGAGAAAGAATATGGACGATGAAAAGGATGAATTATATACTAAAAATGATTAAATTTCAGTTTGATGCTATTCAAGTTGCCAGCTTAAATTTAAACTTGAAACATAATGATTGGGTCTCATGGGCACATTACTTTATGCAATTTATTTGACATATTTTGTTGTTTTGATATTTGGAATGGCACAGCTTAAAATTGTGTTTTTGCCTACCATATTTTAAAATTTTGTGGTGATAATTACTACATTATACTCCCAAAAATATTTTTCAAAATTAAAATTGGTAAAATATTTTAGCGGCTCACATTGCTCATAGTTGGTGCCTAACACCTTCAGGATTAGGCATCCATGTCTCCTTCAGGGCTCTTAGTACGTTTAATAATAATGATCGGAAATGCACAAGAATCAAGGCTTTCAATTATAAATCCATATATAGTAGCTCATCTGCAAGATTTTTCAATTTAATATGTTGATTAAGATTCAAATGATAACAAGTAGATTTGATAAAAAAACATATCGTCCCAAATCTATCAAATTTGACTAAAAAGAAGCATTACTTTTAAAAATAACAGAGAATAAAAGAAAATAATTCACCAAAAAAAAAGCCTCAAGTTTGCACAAGGATATAATCACCAATAAACTCTTTAAAGCTCTCATTTGATCAAACAATTGAACCATGAAAACAAAAGGAAGATTATATCTAAGTAAAAAATTTATTCATATACTCAATGTCCGTATACATGCTCCAAACCCATAAATCAACTTTAATCAACTTTAAAGGAATACATATGATCAGAAAACAGAAGGAAAACAAAAAACTCATAAAGATGCAATCTAACTTCATGAATAGCTGCAAAAATTGAATCCTTAAATCCTCAGCAAAAAGCACATGGAATTTTCAACCCAAGAGAACCTAAAGGAGGGTGCCAAATAGAAACTACGGGCATTTACATGCATACCACACAATTCTTATGTATTTACATATCTCACATTAAGGGCCCGTTTGGGGCAGCTTAAAAGTGCTGCGGCGTTTTTAAAAACGCCGCCTTAATGTTTGTTTTCCGCGTTTGACTCCAATTTCACAAAACAGCATTTTTATGTTTGTATTACACGCGGACCACCGGCATCTCCCCGCGAGCCGCGGATATCCCCGTGATCCGCGTTTGGCCTCCAACCTTTTACTCCGCTACCCTCGCAACATTTTCCCCCCTTTTACTCCGCTAGCCTCGCAACATTTTCCCCGCAGTCGTAACCTTCCTTCGAACTCTTGGCGTCGATCCTGCCTCCGAAGTCGCTCCACAGGTATGTAATCTCTTCTCCTCGCTCCACTCCTCCCTCCTTTCCCCCATTTTGTCGAATGACATCTTGTTTTCAGACTATGCGGTGAATCTGGAAGTGTTTGGTGGCTAAAAACCTAGATCCAGTTTTGGAGAAACAAGTATTGCCGGTAAAAATGTAAGTCCACAGTTATTGTGAAATGTTTGAAGCATCGAGAGGGTTTACTTCTCTATTCCCCATCCCTAACCTTTCTTCGAAATGGCTAA